AAAAAAAAAAAAAAGAGTAAGGGCAGGGACAGAATCAGACACAAGATCCAGTCCTTCCCTGTCCCCAAGTGTGCTGGACTCTCCGAGAAGGGGGAGTGTGTGGCAGTTAGATGTTGGGCACCTGAACACTTAAGGCTATACCTGGAGAAAGGAGGACTGAATGTCACAGAAATGAAGACCAGCAGTCTGAACCATTTTAAACCCACATTGCTATTTAGAGTTACTGAGAGACATGAGGACACACACCAACACGCATAAACACACACTCTCTTCAGTGTCCCACGGACCTCAGGAGGGTTCTCAATAGCTGCAGTGACCCAGGTCCTGGACTCAGCATCCTCGGCAAGGTCTTCAGCCAGCTCCTCTGACAAGTCTGGGATAAGGGCAGTTTCATTTCGCTGGAAGATGAAGGGCTCCTCTTCCTCATGGTCAGACTGTGGACAGGTGAGAAGGCTTTGGATTCTGTGGCAGCAGGCAGAATAGGAAGGTCCTGGCCTTCCCGTCCCACCCTCACTTCTGGCCCAGCCTGCCCAGCTCTGCATCTTAGGGGCATCAAGGGAGACCCAGAAAGAACCTTGCTGTGTGCCACTTCCTGCTGGATTTATTAATGGACTTGGCATTGCCACCTTGTGGAGGTTGAGTTCAGGACTCCTGGTTCTGCAAGTACCTGCCACACCTCAGACTGCGCATACAGCAGGTACTCTGTTAGTCCCTGGTGTGGCATGAACAGGGCAATGAAGTAGTAGCTGAAAGAGCAGAGTCTAGCCCTGACCCCCATGACTAGAGCCATCACTTAGTGACATAGATCCTGAACTTGTCCTCTCTATAGGGGAGCGGGGCTCATACATGCCTGTCCACTTCACCAATTAGAATGAACATGTGAAAATGCTCTGAGCACGAAGGTACTGGGGTCACCTTATGTACTTTTTAGCTTCCTGGACATTGTATGACCTTTGAGGTCCCAGAAGCTCTGTTGTAGGTGCCCAAGTAAGACCCAAACCTGGCCTTTTTACTTCTAAAACCCTTGTTCTTGGCTAGACACTGTGGCTCATGCCTGTAATCCTAGCACTCTGGGAGACTGAGGAGGGTGGATTGACTGAGCTCAGGATTTCAGGACCAGCCTGAGCAAGAGTGAGACCCCACCTCTAAAAATAGCCGGGCACTGTGGCGAGTGCCTGTAGTCCCAGCTACTCAGGAGGCTGAGGCAAGAGGATTGCTTGAGCCCAAGAGTTTGAGGTTGCTGTGAGCTATGACACCACAGCACTCTACTGAGGGCAACACAGTAAGACTCTGTCTCAAAAATAAAAATAAAAATCTTTTCCTTTTTCTTTTTTAGAGACAGAGTCTCACTTTATCACCCTCGGTAGAGTGCCATGTATCACTGCTCATAGCAACCTCCAACTCCTGGGCTTAGACGATTCTCTTGCTTCAGCCTCCCGAGTACAGCTGGGACTACAGGCAAAACCCCTTTTTCTTTATCTAAATGTCCCGGGCCTACCTGCTTGCTGAGCAGCCCTGCCCAGGTGCAAAGTGGGCAGGGTCACTGCCCAGCCTTCCACGTGTACATACAACTTGGTGCTGAGTGTCCTCCAGGGCCATTTCAGTGACCTTGAACCATGACTAGAGAATTCCTTAAAGGCCTATCACAATGCACTGGAAGGGTAACTACTCTTGGTGGTGGTTCTAGCCCCATCCTACCCTGAGAGAGAGTTGAGAAAACACAATGGCAGATCAGAAAGAGCAGAGCTTCAGCATCAAGCCAGCCTGAGTTCTAGGTTAGGGCCAGAACCACCACTGAAATGGTCCTTCAGGATGCTATGCACCAATACATGTGTCCAGAGATTATGATAAATGCAGAATAAAGTGTAAAGAAGGGAACAGGAACCAGAAAACATAGCTCTAAGTCTGGCCAGATGGCTTTTTTTTTTTTAGGAGACATCAGTGCAACTCCTCCTCTGTTGCACAGGCTGGAGTGCAGTGGTGTCATACTAGCTCACTGCAGCCCAGAACTCCTGGTCTCAAACAGTCCTCCTGCCTCAATCTCCTAAGTAGCTGAGACTACAGGTGTGTACCACTAAATCTGACTAATTTTTATTTATTTATTTATTTTTGCAGTTTTTGGCCAGGACCAGGTTTGAACCTGTCACCTCTCTGGTATATGGGGCCAGTGCCCTACTCCTTGAGCCACAGGCGCCGCCCTACATCTGACTAATTTTTAAATATTTTGTGGAGACAGGGTCTCACTATGTTGCCCAAACTGATCTCAAACTTCTGGCCTCAAGTGATCCTCCCACCTTGGCCCCTAAAGTATTGGGATTACAGGTACAAGCCACTGACCCATTCTCAATTGATTTAAAGTAAAATGAAAACAAACTCCACAGGTCAGCAAGAGAAGTCTGTAGAGAGGAACACACCAAAGCTGTCCTTGGTCAGCATCATGCTTGTCACGGGAGGGAGGCTTGACCAGGAGAAAAACTCTTGCTTACCAAGGAGGAGTCCGAGTCGAGAGATGGGAGTTGATCTTTGACGGCCTCAACAATAGCATTCCAGGGACTCATCTGCGAGACCCAGGGAGAACCTAGTGAAGGTGCCACATCTTTGCCTCTAGATGCCATGAGGGCGCAGGCTCGCATACGCCTTCTTAGTGTACCATTATCCAAGGAGCCCTGTGGAGCACATGGGATGAGGTAAAGGGGTCCAGGCAGCCCAGGGTCAGGTGACTGAGGGCTACCTCTTCAAAGCCTCTACCAGCTGTAAGAGGTGAAAACAGATTGGTAGGCTCTCATCCCAGTTTCCTTCTTGTTCTGCAAGCTCCTGTAATTGAGTGCTAGGCGCTGTGTGTGTGTGTGTGTGTGTGTAGTACAGTAGAACCTGTGTATCATGCATATATGACATATACAATATACATATATATGGATTGACATATGATATACTTATGTACATGATATGTAGATGATATGTAGAATGATCTGTGTATGGGATATATGGATGTATATATATAATATAATATAACATATCCCATATAACATCATACTATCATCTCCACTTTGTAGGCTTAGAGTGGTTAGTAAATGACAAAGATAGAATCTGAATCAGGGAGAAGAATTTCAAGCCCCACTTCCTTTTTCTGCCCCTTACAAAGGAATTGACTAGAGACATTTTGGAGTCACCACTCACCTTATAACCTAAGACTTTTGCACACAGGCACTGTGCCAGCTACCACCTTTGTATCTAAAAAAAGATGGTCCTGTTCCTCAGCGGGGCCAGAGGGCTTATGGAATATGGGGTGATGGTACTCCAGAACTAATTTCTGGAGAACCCTTGTGGGACCACTGTGCTTATAAAATGGGGAAGCATTGCTGCCTCGCCTTGGCTCAGCCTCTACAGTTGGGTCCCCTATTCCCAGTCAGGGCAGCAGCAGGGGCTTTTAAGACCAAGGGCAGGCTCGGCGCCTGTGGCTCAAGCGGCTAAGGCGCCAGCCACATACACCTAAGGTGGCGGGTTCGAATCCAGCCCGGACCCTCCAAATAACAATAATGGCTGCAACCAAAA